CTCAGTGATGATTTTAAGGTGGTCCAGGGTACCGCGTTCGTGTTCAATGTATGCACCCCGCATCCTGCGAGCATGGGGACAGCACCGGGAACGAGATGGCTGGACCAGTTGGTGCTTGGGCCAGAGAACAGGGCTCCCTGCCTCTGCGGGGCTAGGTAACCTTGGCTTTGTCTGGGGAAAGTGCTGAAAGCTTTGCAGTCCTTTTGCAAAGGGGCAAAGGCAGAAGTGGGGGGGGGGGGAGAATGGAATATGCATGGCCCACCCGGCAGGGCCAGCCTTAGGGCTGGACAGGGCAAAGAGCCAGGGGCTCTGGCTTTTCTGCCCCTGATCCTCTGCCCCAGTGCTCAGAGTTGGGCCACAGCAAGGAGCTACATTTCTCATTTCTGGGAGAATGCTTTTGTGTGGGGGCAAGAAAGCACAAGAATTCAGGAAATTTGGGGGCATACATCGATGCCCAGGCAGGGCGGAGAAGGTGTAGTCGGTTCCTCTGGTATCTTTGAAAGAGAATTGGTACCTATAAGCCTGGCTGTGGGGCTCCCCGCCTGCCTGGGAGAAGTGGGGAAGAAGTAGCAGGTTTGGGGATCTGAGGCAGCAGTGGGATTTGTAGGCTTGTCAGACTGTGGTTTGCTTCTTCCACTCTAGCCCTGTTGTGAGATGATCATTTAGAATGTTGCTGGTGAGATCCTGAAAGTTTACTATTGTACTAATATTTTGTGCAGGTCAGAAAGTAGAGAGAGAAAGAGAGAGAGAACGCTGACACAGACAGCAAGAATACCCACCCATTTGTGTCATTTTGGGTACTTTAACTAACCTGGCCTCATTTACAAATATCTTTCAGGGCCCACCTCATGTGAGTAATGTTTAATGCAAGCATTTTCCAAAGCGGCCTGGCTGCCAGCGGGGTCATGGCCAAGGGTAAATTTGAACAGATTGAAAGAAAAAAAAAATTCTTGATTTTTTTTCTTCTTCTCCCTTTAATTTTGTTAGAGGAAATCAAGTCTGATACTCCAACCAGCAATTGGCTCACTGCAAAGAGTGGCAGAAAGAAGAGGTGCCCTTACACTAAGCACCAAACGCTGGAATTAGAAAAAGAGTTCTTGTTCAATATGTACCTCACCCGCGAGCGCCGCCTAGAGATCAGTAAGAGCGTTAACCTCACCGACAGGCAGGTCAAGATTTGGTTTCAAAACCGCCGAATGAAACTCAAGAAGATGAGCCGAGAGAACCGGATCCGAGAACTGACCGCCAACCTCACCTTCTCTTAGGTCCGAGGCCCGTCAGAGGTTAGGATCGGAGAGGGGCGCCGAGTTCCAGGGCCGAGTGCTGGAGGACTGGGAAGGCGGAAACAAAACCTTCAATGCTCTTTGTTTTTTGAAATTTTTTTTTTTCCTGCTAGAATGTGACTTTGGGGTCATTCTGTTCGTGCTGCAAGTGATCTGTAATCCCTATGAGTATATATATATATATATATTAAAAAAAACTAGCACGTGTAATTTATTATTTTTTTCATCGTAATGCAGGGTAACTATTACTGCGCATTTTCATTTGGCTCTTAACTTATTGGAACTGTAGAGCATCCATCAATCCACTCGTCCATCCAGCAATGTGACTTTTTCATGTTTTTCCTAACACAAAAGGTCTGTGTGTGTGTGGTTAGTCCATGAGCTCATGGCGTTTTGAATACATCCAGTACTTAAAAGTACTTAAATTACATATATATTTAAAAAGATTAAAACCCACAAGCTTTGGGGGGAGGGGGACTAAAAAAGCACATTACAATGTATCTTTTTGCAAATGAGTTTAGCAGTTGTCCTTGGTGAGATGGAATATTGACTTTGCCTTGTAGCCTTTCCCTTGTGGTGCATCTGTGGTTTGGTAGAAGTACAACAGCAACCTGTCCTTCTGTGCATGTTCTGGTCGCATGTATAATGCAATAAACTCTGGAAACGAGTGCACTCCCTCTGCTTTCTGAAATGGAAATATGTTGTGATGGAGATGAAAGACTTTGGTGAGATTATCTTCCTGTTAAACTGCTTGTTTGGGGCAGTTGCGGGGGTGGTAGAAAGTAGGGGAAGTGATATGGGAGAGAAAAGCTGAAGGGGGCCTTTGGTGCTGAAATTTGGCAGTGGTTGGGGAGTGATCATTCAGGCTGTGCCTGCTGTTTTCCTAGTTGGGAAGAAAGAGGGTCCTGTCTCCCCCTCCCCTCATGATAGTAACATAATTGATTTGTCAATGGATGTGAACTTTCCTCTAGCCTGAACCTGGTAAGTAAACCTGTGTCCAAACCGCATTTTCCTCGCAGCTCCCCGTTTGTGTGTCTTCCTCTCTTTGGTTTTGGTTCTGTTATTTTTAATGCTTTCAGTGGAGTCTGGGTGATTTCTAGCTGGTGTGCCATTGCCAGGGACTAGGTTGAAATCAGTCTTGCCCACCTGGAAGCCGTGGGGCCTCCATTACAGGAGCAAAGACAAGCAGCAGCTTAGCATTGCATCGGGTCCATTTCTGCTCCCCTGTTCTTATCCCGACCCCCATCCCAAGCACAAGATAGCCAGGCCACAGTGAGGCCAAGAATGAGTGAGTTTTCTCATCTCACTTTGCCCTGGTTGCCTTGTGGAAGGATTTTATGCTCAGTCATTACCTTTTGGTGGCCTACATGAAAAAAAAGATTTTTAAAGGAAGAAAAGGTTTCCACCAGCTAATTCTCCCTCCATTTAATTACAAACTGCTGATTGGAGCCATTGTATCTGGGAGGCAAGAAAATGTATGAAGGGTGACTGAAAGAATTTGCAGATGAACATGACTTCTCATGAAGTCCAATGTTCCAGTTGTTACCATGGCACAGAAAACTCCAGCTATCTTTTCCCTATGTGTGAATGTGCATATAGATAGATGGATAGATAGATACATAGATTGACTGATGGATTTCAGGATCCTCAGCCCACGAGAGTCCAGACTTTGGTAGTCCTGCCAGGGAGAAGAGGAGAGGCCTTGGGGGGATGAGCTGACACAAAATTCGTTACCCCAGGTTGTGCTGTGATTTTAAAAGGTTTCCAGTAGACTCAAGCAGCTTCCTTGACAAATCCCTGGATTTGTCAAAGGACAAATGAAAACGATAGATGCTTTTCGCCCCCCCCCCCCGTTTTCCCCTAAAGACAATCTCTTTAAGGGGGTCTCAGCCTTAAAACTCTCGACCAAGAGTCCTTGGGAGACTCAGTAATTATTCGGAGTTTTAAACATCCTGCTGAAAACAGAGGTGATTTTCCAGGTCCAAGACAGACCGCTTTAGGGGAGCCATTTCCTAGGGTGGAAGATGGATGGCATCAATGCCAGGTTGGGAACACTGGAATAGATCTGCCCAGACCTCCATTGGTTGGGCAGGAGAAGGAAGGCAATTTTAGCTTCTCAGTTTACCTCCTGCGATGTGGGGAGCACCATTCGTTGTTGACAAGGGGTCATGTCTCAGAGGAAAATCTGGGCTACAGGCAGAGGCAGCTCCTCTGGAATAAAATCAGAAAGCCTTTGGCAAAGACAATCAATCAGACCATAAGTAGCCATTTCCCTCCTTCCTTTCCGGGGCTCAAGGTGGGCTGGGAGCCCCCCAAGGGTGCGCAGGGCAACTTGTAGAGCGAGGAATATATCCTCCACGCGCCGGCGCCCGGCTGCTTTTTGTCTCGGCTCCCAGCCGGGCTTCCTAGGCTTTGTACCATGGATTTGGGAGTGACAATGGGCATTTCCCTCAGATTCAAGGCTGCCCAGGCTTAACTTTGGAGACTGGGGGGAAAAAAAGTAGGGAGGAGGGAGAGAAAGAAAGAAAAGAATTCGTAAGAGAGTAGCCCAAGGACCAGGCCATTTTTTAGAGATCTCTGGAATTCACTTGGAGACGTCCAAGTGAGAATCAAGGGGAGCGGCCTGGCCCAGGGAAATGCTGTCCCCGATGGCCATTCTTGAGGCAGGGTCGGGGCGGCAGCGGGGTGCGGGCCTGCGCTAGCATTTGGGTTCTGCCCTATGGCGTGTTCTCTTCCAGGACCTTTCCAGACGTCCCGGAGAAGACAAGGCACCCTGGCCGCCACGGTCCGCGCGGTGCTGACTGCCAGCTCGCGGACACTTTCGAAGGCAGACAGAGCCCGGGCGGTGGCCGCCGGCCGCGCCCAGCCCGAGGGCCAGGCCGCCCCAGCTCACCCCTCCGGCCTCGGCGTGCGCTCAGCCTCACGTCGGGGGTGTGTGTCTGCGCGGGCGTGTGTGAGTGCGGTAGGGGGAGGGGGGCCTTTCGAGCTGCTCCATCCGTCCGTTTTATTAGGGACACATTAATCTATAATCAAATACACCTCATAAAATTTTTATTGAAAGGCATAATATCATTACAGAGGTCTTCCACCTGTTTTAAACAACACGACAAGCTGTGAGAGAGCGTGTGTGGGTGTGGGTGTGCGTAGGCAGGGGTGGGCTGGGGCCGGGAGAGAAGCTCCGGGAGAACTCCCCTCGGGCGCCAGGGGGCCGCCTCGGAAGGCCGGCCTGCCTCGGGCCGCACAGGCTCGCGCTCCCCGCCCCCGGCCCCCAAGTGCTCGGAGCGCCCAGAACTCACGGCCGGGAGCTCGGAGCCCAGACGCCGGGGAGGCAGCCCCAGTCCGGACTGCAAGACCGAGGGAGGCAAGAAGAGGCGAACAAATAGTCCCCAGCGCCTCCTGCGGCCGCGGTCGGGGCGCGTGGTCCCCGTCGCCACCGGGATGGCCGAGTCAGGCCAGGCCGAGCTCGGCGCACCGGCCGGGACCCGTGGGCTCTAATTGCTGCTCTTATGTTGATGATGATTTTTTTTTTTTTTAAATCACAGCAGCCCCCAGTTTAGCGGACTGATTTACTCCTGGTATTGGTAAATATGATCACGTGGGCCGCGCGACCAATGGTGGAGGCTGCAGCCTGCGAACTAGTCGGCGGCTCGGGCGCCGGCGGGGAGCGGCGCCGCGGCGGGCAGTGTAACCTTGGGTGGGAGCGCGGGGCGCCTCAAAATGTCCTCCAGTGGCACCCTCAGCAACTACTACGTGGACTCGCTCATAGGCCATGAGGGCGACGAGGTGTTCGCCGGGCGCTTCGGACCTCCAGGGCCTGGCGCGCAGGGCAGGCCCGCAGGTGTGGCCGACAGCCCGGCCGCCGCCGCCGCCGAGTTCGCCTCGTGTAGTTTTGCCCCCAAATCGGCTGTGTTCTCCGCCTCGTGGTCCGCGGTGCCCGCCCAGCCCCCGGCGGCGGCGGCGATGAGCGGCCTTTACCACCCATACGTGCCCCCGCCGCCCCTGGCCGCTTCCGCCTCCGAGCCCGGCCGCTACATGCGCTCCTACGGCCCCAGCGGCCCACCCAACGGGCGCCACTACGGGATTAAGCCTGAAAGCGGAGCGGCACCGACCCCCGCCGCCGCCGCCGCCACCTCCACCTCCTCCACTTCCTCGTCTTCCTCCTCCAAAAGGACTGAGTGCTCCGCGGCCCGAGAGTCCCAGGGGAGCGGCGGCCCCGAGTTCTCGTGCAACTCGTTCCTACGGGACAAGGTGGCAGCGGCGGCGGCTGGGGGAGCCGGGCCCGGGGCGGGGATCGGATCCGGGTCCGGGGCAGGCGGCTCATCGGAGCCCTCGGCTTGCAGCGACCACCCGAGCCCGGGCTGTCCGCTGAAGGAGGAAGAGAAGCAGCATTCGCAGGCGCCTCAGCAGCAACTTGACCCAAGTAAGTGCAAAAGAAATTGCCCCCTGATTTATTGCTGAAACCTGTAAGGCTCGAATGTGCAAAACTGATAGTTTTACTAACCTATAAAAACGTCTAGACGCCTACCCTAGCCTGGGCGAGCTACACGCATCCATAAAAAAAGCGTCCCATAACCACCTACCCTGGGCACGCGGTTTGTACGGTAAACAGAGCGCGGGCATTAAGGCTTTTTATGATAATTCCCCCCCAAGTTGTGAAAAGCGGCCATCCTTGGTGAAATTAATTTAACGACCTCTTCTCTCCCCCACCCCGTTGTCTCTCGCTGCCTCCCCTCCGCCCCTCGCTCCCCTTCTTCAAACCCCCCTCTTCATAGACAACCCCGCAGCAAACTGGATCCACGCTCGCTCCACCCGGAAAAAGCGCTGTCCTTACACCAAATACCAGACGCTTGAGCTGGAGAAGGAATTCCTCTTCAACATGTACCTCACTCGGGACCGGCGCTATGAGGTGGCAAGGATTCTGAACCTCACAGAGAGACAGGTCAAAATCTGGTTCCAGAATCGTAGGATGAAAATGAAAAAGATGAGCAAGGAGAAATGCCCCAAGGGAGACTGACCCGGCGCGGCGCCGGCAGGACCGCTCTGCTTTGCAATGGCAGTGGGGGATTTTTTCTTTGTGGGTGCTTGATTTCCAGAACTTCTCCAGCCATTCGGACATTTCCCCCACCCCATTTTAGGTAGAAGTGACTGTGTGGTTGGTTTCTGTGAGGTAATTTGGGGGACTCTGTATTTGCTCGATTATGTGTTGGAGAAACCAAGTGGCTTTGGGGTTTTGCCCTATCCTGCTCCCCTCTTTTCCTGTTCCGTTGATTCCTTAGGAAATGGCATATTTTGTGAGTGCACGCTGGTTTGAGGAGCCCTCTCCTGTGTAAATGTCTCCTATATTTCTGAAAAGTGCTGTAGTTTAGCCCCGAGCGCTGCTTAGCGCTGCTCAAGCAGGGGCCAAGCGCACCCCGTTTCCAAAAGCGAAGGCAGAGCGACGACAGTGCGGAGGCCCGCTGGGGCCGAGCCCCGGCCGTGTTGCCCACCGGTTATGAAAAGCCCCTTTTCCTCAGGAAGGCCGCGGGCCCTCCACTGAGATCTGTAAGGCCGGGAGAGGAGCCCAGGGCCTCCGGTGGGTCAGGGCTTTCTTCTCAGTGCACTGGAGGAGCCGCACTCTCCCTGGGAGGGTTTGGCTTGCGTGGGCGGCCGCGGGTGTAGGCCCTCCCGGTTCCTGCCTGAGGACCAGTTGTAAATGCTACCGCTTCCTACCAATAAATGCTGACCTGATCAAATGGAGTCCAGACGCTGGCCCTGAACACTGTGTGCTTGCTTTCTCTGCCTCTTTGCAAAATATCACCCTCATGGGACGTCTTCCCCATCTCTGGGAAGGATACTTTGCTAAAAATCCATGGCCCTTCCACCTGAGAGGTCTCTGATGTGCCTCTGAGTCTCGCTTAGGTTGGGCAGACTGCAGCATAGAGCACCGCCCCCCCCCCCCCCCCGGGGAGCCTTGGGCGGTCCTGTCCCAGCCTGCTTCCAATGCCTCGGCGAACTCTGTACCCTGGACCCAGTGTCAGCATTGCAGCAGAACCGGCAGAGCCCCTGGACCCCAGTAAACAAGGGACCGTCTCGCTGGGGCTTTGACATACCGCACCCCACGTCTCCCTCTGCTCACGGAGTCGTAGCCATCAACACCCCCGCTTCCCCCCCACCCAACCAGGGAAAGGCCAACTCAGCACCCTGGGGCAACTCCTCCAGTTCCGCGGGGCTGGCTGGCTCCGGGAGGGCTGAGCCGGTTAGGCTGTGAGCTTCCGCCCCTCCCCACGGGAGCCCCGAAGTGACCTTAGAAGATCAAAATGGTCAAGGCTCTCCGCAGCTATCCCCACCCCGCCCCTCCCCCACGCAGTTTCTGTGTGTTTAGCCCCCAGCTCGGCCCTCTGAGGGCCGCATTCAGAGGCTAAAATGAAGGTCATTGTAAGTGAGGATTTGGGCCCAACACGGCCTTTGCAGGCCCGAGAGGCGGCGGCGCCGGGCGGCCTGGGCTGGGCGGAAGGCGGGGGCGATGGCAGAGTTTTGGGGGGATCCGGATGAAAGAGGGGACTTGAGGAAAAGCAGAGGGGGGCAGGGAGGGAAATCCAAGGCCCAGATCCGGCAGAAGGTGCTGCGTACCCCCCGCCCCTGCGGCCAACCCGATACCTTGGGCTCTTTGAAAACAGGAAGAGCCAAGGTGTCATAAAGCCATCGAGTCGGCGAGACGTCTGGAGGTAATGAGTTTACAACAGGCCCGGCGCTTCGCTTTGAAAGCATCTCATTTTGATGTTTGTGTTTGTGGGAGGAAAGGAAAAATGCAGACAAAACTGGGTCTTAAAATCTGGACAATAAAATATAAACAGGACTCAGTTGGACTAAGAAGACGGGGACTGGGGAGCCCCGGATGAGGTGTGAGCACCTAGGAAATAAAAATAGGGGGAGTAGGAAGGAGGAGACAATATAGTTCTGATTTTTAAAATAAGCTGGGTATAGAAGTAGCCAGTGGGTGGCTCTCAATAATATTTAACTATGGCTGCCGTCTAGCTCCTTTTTAAAAAAGGAAAATACGTCTGTTATTTGGGGGTGGGAGAGTTAGTGCTCTTGGGTCATTTACTTAGGCCGAGCATCTCCCAGATGCATGGTCCGCGGAAAGAGATGAAGTTGCCACTTAAATGACCTGTCACAAAAATATCTAACCCTCCACTCCAAACAGGGAGCAAAAATATTGTTGGAAATTATTTGTTTGCTTATAGAAAAATTAATCGTTACAGCTGAATTGGAGGGAAGCATTTTTGAAAATGAGAAAAAAGATTAACTTCTTAGGAAACACCTAAACTGATTAAAGTCTTCCCTTTAAATAAAAACAAGTGGAATGCTTAGCCAATTCATTTCACTCTGTGGCTTTGATATAAATTTAATATCTCATTTATTGTGCTTTGAAGTTCCAATGAACACAGCCCAACGGGGCCTTTCCAGACAGGCATTCAGAGATAAATCAAAAAAGTTTTTAATTTGCCTTCTATCCCCACCCCAATTGTCCAGTGAAATGGTCCTGAAGCATTAAAATTACAAAGTAGCAAACATTCAGGATTTAATGCTACATGTAACAGCTTTAAAAGAAAAAAAATGAACGAATTTAACTTCTGTAGTTTCTTAGCTTTCTAAGTCCCTGGCTCCACTGTAAAAAAAAAAAAAAAAAGAGGCCTATAGCAGTTGATATTTAGAAAGTTGTGATCTCGTTGAATCTAGCCCATTCTGTAATTGTGGGCGATTACAGAATGGGGACTTACTGTGTCTGGCAAAAGAAGGGCTGGAAGCTTTTGAAAAAGACACTACTGGAAGCTCTCGGGAGCAGAAATATCTTTGGCATTCAGGAGCCCCTGTTTTCTGCACTTGACTTGTCGACAATCAAAGAGATGAAAGCATTATTAGTGTCAGCGATCCAAGCTCCAGTCAAACTAAAGAACAAGATTGGAATTGGTTTGAGTTGAATAAACAGAAGTTAAGCTCACTCAGCTAGAGGTGGCATTTTGGCCACTAGAGAGCGCCGTTGCTCCATTTTGTGATCGTAAAGCTGGCGTTTGCGGCGGAAGAAGGGCTTGATTAAAGATACAATCCTATGTTAGATTCCAAATTAGGATAAATTTAGCCAAAAAGAATCAATGTGCACTATTACATTCTCCAGAAGTGCTTATTATGTATAAAATTTTGACTTAGGATTTCAGAAAACTTGGGCACAGTTGAGAACGTTACGTTAATGCACTGTATCAAAACAGAGAAGTGTAAAAGCATACATGTTTACCAAGTTAATCGCACCCTGCTCCCATTCAGATTATAAACGGAATGCTTGAAGGAAAAAAATAAAACTGTTTTGTCCCAAGAGGAAATGTTGTCTTACAATGTTTTCGTAACTAGGCCAGAATGTGTAGAAATGAATTTGTAGTGTTTGTATTTCTTTTTCGCCCCCTCAGGAATCACAAAGTTCTGGAAGGTGCTTTGCATTATTGAGATCTGGACTCGCTCTTCTTTTCCCCCATTCCATTCCAAAATCCACTATTGAGGGTTTAAACACGCGCGCGCGCACACACACCCCACACACGCCAAACAGTGAAATTAAAAGGCGCAATTACAAAGTTTCAAGGCTTTATTGAAAATAATTACTCTTTTAATTGGGTATTTGCAAGATTGGAGTACAAATCGTTAACCGTCCGAATCAGTTCGTTGGCCTACGGATTTAAAGGAAGGTTTTAACCTGGTGATAACTGGCAGAAAACAACAATAACAACAACAAAAAAAAACCGGACCCATCACCACTCACACAGCAGAAGCCTCCTTGCACTCCCTACTAATTTAAAAATAAGACATGCCTTTATAATCTGCAGATTCATTAGTAATCCGTTTACCTTCACTATTTTCAGCTATTCCCTGTAGAAACAATTTACAGAGTCTTAAACATTATCTTGTTATGCCTTTCCGTCTCTACCTTATTTTCTCCATTTGCAAGATAATATTCTGTCCACCCGGACTAACCTCAGGATCTCACCCACGAGCTGGGCCAACCCTCAAGGGGCAAGAGGTAGTTGAAATCAGTCGCCTGCTACGCCTTTGGGAGCTGTCTGGAGGTTTTTAGACATTCTCATTTGGCGTGAAAAGCCAGCAAGGTGTGTTTAAGTTTTAACGGGGGCGTCCTCGGTGGGCTGAGAGTGTTTCTGAGGTCGGCTCCCGTGGGCCTGGCGCCCTCTACAACAATGGATTATCCCAAGAAGAAGGGTCACCTTAAGACCCACTAAAAAGGCAGGGTAGGCAAAGGAAAACCCACTCAGCAGAGACCTATTACATTTATTAGACATTGAACATCATCAACACAAGAGCAGAGGTGGGGGGAAGAAGAAGGGGAGAGAGAAGGCGAATTGGTGGTGTAACGCCAACAGGCTTTAGAGCCAGTTTCTAAAATCAGGAGTATTTTTCCGATTCACACTCGATTTGCCCAGATGATACGGGACGTTTCTCTTCCTCGTCCTTCATAGAATGCGTTTACTCTTTCTTTACCTTTGGAAAAACTAGTAACTTTTTAAGTTGAACACAGCGCCTGTTCTCGGCACTAACTTCCCAGGCTTGTTGCATGAACTAGAATCGTTAGAAGATGGGCGCCGCCTGCAGCTGCTTGGAACTGGCATGTTCCGAACGCCGGCCCGGAGGCTCCTTAGGGGTCCCGGGTGTCGGTTCCCCGACCTCCGCCCGGGGCCATCGCCTGCCCAGGTCCTCTCCACGCAGGGGCTGAGACCCGGAGCCGCGCGTCCTGCCGGAGAAAATACCAGCCTCTCCAGCGTAAGTTCTCCTTCGCGGCTTGGAACATTTCTGTCTGCTTTTCTATTTACTCTCTCAGCAATGCTAATGTTCCCCCTCCCCACATTCTTCAGGCTGCCCCCTGCGCCTGGTACTGACGTCTATCAAGGGTGAAATGATGGAAACTATATTCATGGGCATGATTTCCATTAAATATCAATTAACCTGGGAGCCTCAGCCAGGCGTGCAGTACGTCAAGGGTAAATGTACATCTCATTTCCACAAGGCCCGCTCGGCTGGAAAAGAAGGGCTTACTTAGATTCGCTTTGATAATGCACTTCGGTATTGAGGTCACCTTTGTGGCCTTTAATCAAGCCACTTGGATAAGACCTAACTCAAATATTCAGCCGAATCGTCTACACGGCTTGTCCTCGTTCCCTGGGCTGCGCCCGCGTGTCCAGAGGCGCAAAAGCCACGGCCAACCTCTGAGGGCTTGCTCCAGGGGCCGGGGAGGGAGTGATTTGCTCCACAGTCTCCTGGGAGTGGCCTCCCTGCCTCCCCGCGCCCCCACCCCCAAGTGTAAGGCTCCGCTGTGCCCCCGCCCTGCCGGCCGTGGCCCGCATTCCCTGGGCCCGGGGGCACGGCTAGCCCTTGGCAGTGCGGTTTTATGGGCCCCCTTTAAGGCTGGCGGAGGCATCTTCGCGCCAGCGTGAGGCGTCCCGTCGGGTGCAGAGTGTCGCCTCCGCGCGGATCCCTCCGCGCGGTTATCTCGCGTCCATCTCGCTCCCTCTCCCGGCAGTGGCGTGGTGCGAAAATGCCTCGCCGGGGCGCACCGGGGCGGCAGCCTCGGCAGCGGCGGCGAGAGCGGTGGGAGGGGGCTACGGGGGGGGCGAGGTGAGAGGTGGCGGCGGGCAGAGGGTTTTTTTTTCCTTTTCCCTCCAGAGCGGGGGTTTGTAAACCGAAGCCAAAGAGTGTCTCCGTGGGCCGGGCGCACTTTTTTTGTTGTTGTCCCGGTGCGCTCAGGGCCGCCTGGTGCCTGAGAGGAAAGAGTGGAGGCAGCGGGGCAGGTCACCCGGGGTGTTGGCGAGTTTATTGCGGCCAAGCCGGCGCGCGCCGGGAGAGGCCGGGCGGGCAGTGGAACGCGGGGGCTGGGTGAGGCCCTGCGACCTGCGAGGGAGGCGGCGCGAGGTCGAGGCGGCGGGCGCGGGAGAGGAGCATGAGCGCCCAGTAGTGGAGTGCCCGCGGTTGCGGGGTCTCAGAAGCGGCGGGCGGGTGGGTGGCAGCAGCAACGTAGCCCGGCGGCCCCAGTGGCGCGAGCAGCCGCCCCAGAGGCCCCCGCGGCAGTGCGGTCGCGCTGAGGCGCGCTCCCTGCCTGCTCCGCGCCGCCCGCCCGCCCGGGGCCGCCCTACCTTGGCCCCCGGCCGCTGGCCGCCGCCGCCTCGATGAGTTCGTACTTCGTGAACCCGTTGTACTCCAAGTACAAGGCGGCGGCCGCGGCAGCGGCCGCGGCAGGCGAGGCCATCAATCCCACTTACTACGACTGTCACTTCGCGCCCGAGGTCGGCGGCCGCCACGCCGCTGCCGCCGCCTTGCAGCTCTATGGCAACAGCGCCGCCGGCTTCCCGCACGCGCACCCGCACCCGCACCCGTCGCCGCCGCCCGCCGGGCCGGGCTGCAGTAGTGGGGGCGGCCCGGGCCCCGGCCAGGACTACTTCCACCCCGGCGGGGGCAGCCCAGCCGCAGCCTACCAGGCCGCCCCACCTCCTCCGCCGCCGCCTCCCCCCTGCGGTGGGATTGCCTGTCACGGGGAGCCCGCGAAGTTTTACGGATACGATAACTTACAGAGACAGCCGATTTTTACGACCCAGCAAGAGGCCGAGCTGGTACAATATCCTGACTGTAAATCGTCCAGTGGTAATATTGGCGAGGACCCAGACCACTTAAATCAGAGCTCGTCTCCTTCTCAAATGTTTCCCTGGATGAGACCACAAGGTTGGGATGCAATTTTTTTTTTTTTAAGCGGGGAGAGGGGGAGAAATCTGCTTTCATCTCACGTAATTGCTTTAAAACTCCCCTTTTCTCTCCCTCTCCTTTTTCTTCTGGTGTAGCTTACAGTGACTCTTATTCATGAAGTAATACAGACTTTTTTTTTTTTTCTTTAAAGTAGAAACCATGAAAAGATGATGGGGGTCATAATAATTGCTAGGACGTTCTCGCTGCCCCTCTTGCCTGCCCATGCTATATATTATATCAGACCTAAGGAGAGTTGTGTATATTTCACCCCTTAGACCTGTTTCAGAAACCTCCAGCAACCTGCAGACGCACCATTACATTTTTAATGTTTATTTTCCTCTTTTTTTCTCTCTTTGTTTTAATCAGCAGCTCCTGGTAGACGAAGGGGAAGACAAACCTACAGTCGTTTCCAAACCTTAGAGTTGGAAAAGGAATTCCTTTTTAACCCTTATCTGACCAGGAAGAGAAGAATCGAGGTTTCCCACGCCTTAGCCCTCACCGAGAGACAGGTAAAAATCTGGTTCCAGAACAGGAGAATGAAATGGAAAAAGGAGAACAACAAGGACAAATTCCCGGTTTCCAGACAGGAGGCGAAGGATGGGGAAACAAAAAAGGAAGCCCAAGAGCTGGAGGAAGACCGAGCCGAAGGCCCGACAAATTAACTTCTACCTTTAAAATTTTACCGCAGACTATTAAAACTAATGATCAGCATATGCTGGTGGACACCACCTGTTTTCTTTTTTGGAAAGGACTTTACCTGTGTTTCAAGCTACCTTCATGTCACTGCTCTTGAGGTTTCTGCGCTTTGAGAGGGATTTGGGTGTTTTAAAAAAAATGTTTCTAGTGTCGCATAGAAACAGCCCTTGAGCTGTCCTATGTAAGAGTAATTTGATACTGACCTTGTAGCTATATTTTTATAATGGTAGTTTTTAATGTCTGAGCTGGTGATTTTGCCTCGACAACGTAAACTTCCTAATGATTAGCACTAAATAATTGAATATAAAATGATTTATTAATCAAACAAGTGCACTTGAACGTTTTAAATCTTTTCTTTATGGTGAGTAAATTAAAAGAAGTTTATTAATTTTAAAAGAAATTATGCCCGCAGAATATTTACTTTATATTATGTGATTAAAATGTGTTATTTATATTTTTTTCTGCTTTTATAATGAATGGTTCGGGTGCCTTTTGTTTACTCCTAAAAGGTTTCTTTGAGAATTTTGTAAATGTAATATCTCTGGGAAAAAGTCTGGGCCAAATATTGAGAAAAGCACATGTTAGCTGAGGAGTGTAATGTATAGTCCTGGCTCTGCAGCTTCCTTAAACTTGGGGAAAATGTTCGGCTAGTGACAAAAGTTTCAGGACAATGTCAAAGTTGACATTTAATAATTTTTCTATAGTTTATACAGATTATGGCAGTTTAATCATCTAGAGTGAATGAATACTTGAAAAGTCAATTATAACATTTTCACTTAGATATTTTTAGTCTGGCAAGTCACCTTGTGGAACGCCTCTCCTTTCTGAATTTGCTTTCATTTTCAACTGTGCTTGGAATCGCCTGAAACTGCTAGGTCTCTGTGCTGTGGCCGCCGCTGTGATTCCGGTTTGTGTGTGTGTGTGTGTGTGTTTTCCTGAGGAGGTGCCATATTTATTTGTATTCTCTTCTCTCTGTTTGCACGCCCATTGTGAGCCAACTTGTTGTGTGTATCTCAGATGTCGGTTGGTACGTCCTCTGCTGTTCTCCAGGTTGGCCTCACCTATTTGAAACAAGCCTTGAGAGCAAACGCGGAAAAATCCGAGTGTAAACAACCGCTGCAGAATATAGCTAGCTCCTTAATAAAAGAAATGAATCCTTTTTCTAGAGCTAGTGTCTTTGAGCGCCGCCAATAACCCTTTTCCTGAGTCAGGAACAATCTCCAGGGCTCCTGTGAAGGCAGCATCCTGCTAAAGCATCTGTTTGATTTTTAAAAGGTGGGAGGGGGGTTACCTGCACCCTTGCTATAAAAATAAATAACTGCGGGAGGGGGGACTTTCTTTCATTTCAGAGAAGGCCAGCTAGGCTATTCTAGCTTCATCTTGCTCTAAACAACCTTGATAAGATATTGGGAGAGCTTTGAACTTCGCAAAGGACTGGAGTTGTAGGCCCAGTGGGTAACAACCTAGAGTCCAGATTATACCACAGCTTATTCCATTGAGCCAGCACTGATGCTGGGGTTTGGGATCTGTTATTAACAAGATATCCATTTTCCATTTGAGGCTACTTCTGCAGCTGCCATTTTATGAGGGAAGAGGAGGGGAAAGGGGCAGGAGGGAAGAGGAGAAATTCAAGTAAACTAACATTTCTCCCCACAAAAGGGAAAGCCCCTTTATCAGGTAGACTTTGAAGAATTCTCTTCTTTTTCTAGATGCCTGTATGTTTTTAAAAAGGTACATTTTAATTTCCAGAGTGGCTTTTATTGCACAGGTACGAAAATGGAATCCTATACTTTGGGGCCTGTATCACTTGTTCAGGTGATGGTGGGCTGTTTGCCTGCTGCTTCGAGGACCAGGGGAACGTTGGCACAGGTTAGGCCAGAGGTGAAGCACCACCTGGCTTTCTATCCAGGGAAGAGGCTATGGCTGTGGCATTCGCTGACCTGAGCCAGGAAAGACAATTTTAAGTCAAGGGTGGCCCGGGGCTTAAGAAACATTTGCAAAAGGGGAGACAGCTGCAAACGTGCCTGCTGGATTTGGAAACGTTTTGCTCTGTGTGTTGCCCGAGACTCTGCTGTTGACTGGGTTAGAGCAAGTGTGCCAAGTGCTTGAAAGCATGGCTAGGAAACAGTCTGGCTGTGGAGAGGGTGGGAATAGGCTGGCTAGAGACTGGTGCTGGCTAGACTCCAGCTACCCTCCATTTAAGGATTCCTCTATTAGCAAAATTCACTGTCTTCTACACAAGAATTCTCCCTGAAAATCATTTTTAGAGCCATTGATTTGGGCAAGACTATATGGTGGCGGACTGATGTGGAAATCAGTTAAGGAAGGGAGGTAAAAATGGTTTTTCCTCTCCATTTTGTGCTACTCTGAAAGTGTTGTACCTTCTGGCCCTGTTGGACCCCTAACCTATGGTAAATTCATAGCTCATGTACACGAAAAGACTTGCAAAACTTAGTACACTTGAGAGTATTTGTACATTTACACATTTGGTATTTTGGGTATATATTTGTTGTACATATACATAGATTACTCGTGTAGAAACTGTTGGTAATTAGTGTAGGTATACATGCTTCCTTTTGTAGTTGGGGAAAACACAGATTTGTCTTCAAACAGAGTCTGTGGAATTACAAATCACACACACTCACCACCATCTTTCTTAAAGTGGTTAGAAACCCCCATCTGTTTCATGCAGACAACTCCCAGTGACGAGTGCAGAAGATGCCCTTCTAATTGGCTCAGATCTGTAAACAGCTGAGGGATGCAGCATATCGAACCAACATTTTTGCTGCAGAAATTTGCATAAGCCTTCAGAGAACCCTTTGGAAACCGTCGACACTTTGGTGCCCTGGACTGCTTAGAGAGTCTGCTTAGAGAGGTCTGTAAATCATTTACAGAAAAATAGGACCCTCCAATGTTAACACTGGATGAAAAAACCCAGGGTCCTAAGTGATTTAGGTTCTCTGCGTAGACCAGAAACACACAAAAGAAGGTGTGGGTCTCAACTGTTACTAGAGAAAAGTCAGTCCAGGGGCTTCCATTTTGTGAGGTTCCACAAAGCCCAGCACATGGCTTATCTCTGAACCGGGGGAAAAAGTACAAATATGGCTGCCTTTTCAAAAGTTTTCCCAGCCCTCCTTCCACCAGCTGAAATGGAGGGTCATAAACTCTGCCTTTATTTGGGTAGAGGAAAATTGACAATTGAGGTTATTTCTCAGAATGTTTCAAAACTAAACAATGTTTTGAATGTATAGACATGTGTAGACCAGCATAAAGTGTTACTGTTTGGGAAGGTCCAACAACATGCTCCATCTTGTGCAATTAAAATATTGTTTAATTATTCTTCACTGCAGAAGGTGTTACTATTTCACATCCAAACATGTGTCCTCTGCTTTCCCACTGTTTGCTGAATCCTCATGCATCTGTGGTGAACAGGGGAAGAGAGAACATTTTAATGAGCCTGGCTGCTGCTTTGGGTACCTCCAGCAATGTTGGAGCTCACTGACTTTTTCTAGAAAGAATATGGCTTTTGCTGACACATGGCAACAGAAGCACTTTAATCAGAAACATCCAAGGTCATCAGAACTTTGTCAAGGGATACAAATAGCCTGCTCCAAAGGGTGCTGTGTGCTTCCTACTTAAGTGTATGACCACTTAGGTACTTACTGGGTATGAGGATGTTAACGGAGAACTTATACATTGAAATACTAATGCACATATTTATAAATGTATTACTAGAAGTCCAAAGCAGTGTCCTTGAAAGGATGGGGTGCGGGTGAGGAGAGGTTACCTCTTACAGGCAGGTTTGAAGCCTGGATGGCCATGCCCATGCATTAATGATGAGGAGAGCTAGCCAAGGATGTCTACCTTCAGCTGGGGTTCCCTGAAGCAGCTTCCATGAGAAGACTGAAAGGAATGGCACTCCTACCTTTGAAGAAAAAGAACTATTTTTTTTTTTCAAGCCTGAAACTGGGGAGTTGCTTTTTTCCTGAACAAATGGAGTCCTCTACTTCAGTATTGCACTGGACAGGCTCTTCAATGGACAAACATTTTGGGGGGCAAGGGAAGAGGGGGCTAGAATTAATTCCATAGAAATGTGAATTGCACTTAGGGGAGACTTACACAAGGATTTTCAGAGGATGTTCAAAAAGATGGACTCTTTAACCCCTGGACTCGCAGGGGGATGTTTCTATCTAGATTAAGTATAGGTATTGGGAGTTCAAACTGTTATTTTGGAGAAGTTGACAAGTACCTAAAACCATTTCCAGTGGTTGGCAACTCTCCTACTGCAGAAACCCCAAAAAACAGGAGGGACCCCGATTTATGTCGGAGAGAGTTGGGGGGGGCACACATTTTCTTGGCCTGCAGAGCCCCGGTTTGCTGCACAAGGTCAGACTAGGTGGCTTGCCTGAAGATGAGAGGGGCAAAAACCGAAAGCGCTTGGCTGCTCTTTCAGAGAGGCCTTTTGGTGAGCGGAGGGGAGGAGAAGCCAAGTGAGGGGAGAGGTGGAGGGAGGGGTGACTGACAGGATCACCTCCCCAAGCGAGCGCGGCATTCATTCTCCCTGAAACACAGTGCCCAAGGAGCAGAGGTTTCAAGCCAAAGAACCAAAATAAAAAATAAAAGGAAAAGAATTCCTAGAGAAAGGAACCGTGAAGTCTAGAAAGGCAGAGCGAGTGGTGGAGAGGGACACAGAGGGAGAAAGAGGAGGAGGGAGGAAGAAAGAGGAGGAGGAGGGGGAGGAAGGAGTGCAGAAAAACGGAGAGAGAAGAGGGGAGAGCAGAGAGAGAGAAAGAGGAAAAAACATGGCGCTTGCGAGCTGTATGTGCAAAATCCGCAAGGAATTGCAGTAAATTCCTTTTTGTTTGAAGAAAATTTACAACTTGGTAATAGACCTTTTTATGACCTATTTGCGGTCGTCATTGGCTGCGGCTGGTCATGTGCAGGCTCCGCTCGCCTTCACGGCCTTTTTCCTGATTTCCCAGGCGAATTTCCCCCCGCATTCTGCCTTCCTAGAGCCTCACCCCCTCTTTTTCTAACCTTTGTCTCCGCAGAGGTGGGCTCCAGTCTCCGGCTGCGGGATTGCGGGGTCCGCGGCGGCCTCGGCTCGCGCCCGGCGCCCAATTTGGCCCCACGGCCGCTTCGCCCCGGGCCGCACCGCTGCCGCCTCCGGAGCCGGCGGGGAGCCCGGCGGGCGGGAGAGCCCGGAAGGAGCCCGGGGCGCCGAGGCCCCCACTGGCGCCGGCACCGCCCGCCGGGAGCCGCCGGCCTGCAGCCGGGTGGCCGAGTCGCGCGGTTCCGACGCGCTCCTTCTCTAACATGAGCGGGTCCCTGCCGCGCAGAGCGCGGGTAACCGGGCAGCGCCTAGTGGATTACAGCCGCCGCCGGGGCCGACCGCCGCCTCCAGCTCTGCACCTCCGGTAAGAACGGCCCCCGCCCCGCGCCTCCAGCGCTGCCACCGAGAAGCTCGAGGCGCCCACCCGTTCGGTTATCTCGGGAAGCCCGGCTCGACCCCCCACATTTCCCCGGGGCCTGGGAGTGCCCGTCTGCGTCCCCAGCCTCCAGATCACTCAGTTTCTGAACGGGCGTCCCCTGGGGCCCTGGGTGGGGTCTGGCTGAGCTCAGAAATCGAAGGGAAGCCCTATTTCCTCTCGAGATGATGAGAGGTGGATAGCGGCATAGATCGAGAGCCTCTGGATCCCCGCCCTGGGAAGACTGTGCAGATGGTTTCTGGGGCTGTCAGCTTTGCCGGGGGTCACTACAGGCACTCTGAAGTCTAGAGCAGCATTTTGCGGTCGGTCTGTGGTCACAGGTACCTGGGAGGCTAACAGGTGTTTTCTGAGGGTTGGAACTTGGGGGTGGGGGTGGGGTGGATTCTGTGTATCCAGGATGGTGCTGCGTTTGTTCATCTAGGCTTTGGTGAGTGATGTTGATTTTTAGAGTTTTTGGTTTACTGGGCCTTGTTTATGAGATGGAATTTTAAATATTAACTGCTTCTCTAACTCGCAGATGATTTTCGTAACAACTCAAGAAAGGTTTGGCACACATCTGTCAGGTGATTCTGGGTTATTCTATGCCACAAAATGGATGCATGTTTTGAGAGGTAGTAGTAGAGCAGAGGATCAGAAAACCTGGTTCAGGTCTTGGGGAAAAAAACAGACATTTCAGAAATTCGAAGCATGCTTAATAAGTTCAAGCATCGCGTGTGTTTCTTATTTGTCAGAGTAGGAAAAGAGTAGACATTTTGCTCTCTAAATGTACTGTTGTGGTGTGGTGTGTTGCCTACCAATGAATAGCATAGCAATACTTCCAACTCTACTTCAAAACTAGTGAACCAAAATATCTATGAATCGAAAGAAAATTATTTGCAGAAAGGAATGCTATTTTCTCCTATGGATTTTGAAGGGCACTTGAGCATGCAGTTCTCGAATCCCATTGCCTCTTTCCTCATGGACACGTGAAATCTTAAAACCTTAGGACAATCTGCCGCATTGCGCATGGGGTTGACCTGCGCATGGCGGAGTATTGTTTTTTCAGGAACCAGCGGAAAAGCCTAACTCAGTGTTCTCCCAAATATCCCAGTGTGACCATGCTGGCCTTAAAAGCATTTCTGAACAATAAATGATATTTTTATAGAAAGGTATTTTTAGTAAGTAACGACAGAATCAAGATCGTTTCAAAATGGAGGGTTACGATTTGTGGCCAGTTGACGTGTGCAGAATTGTCGCCGATCACTAATTATGATCACTCACAAATGAGAAACTGATTTTTAAGCCCAGAATGTCTGTATTTTGTAAATGTCTCTGTTAGAGTACTGCTGAGATCATTCTTTCATACTGGTATCGAGCATTACCTACTGAAAAACAGGCCTCTGGACTGGGGCTCCCAGGGCCCTGCCCTGACAACTCCAGGAGCCCCTAAATTGCCTGGAGTTGGGGTGGGGGTGGGGACGAGTTGTGGCCATGATGGCCAAGCCCTGGTGTTCCGAGTTTCAGTAGCCTTTCCCTGGGTTCAATGACTGAGCGCGCCAAGTGACTAGGAACCTGGGCGGTCTGCAGGGCCAATTGCACAGCAGAGGGTGATGTCATGGGCAGATATGGAGGACTAAGGGGTTCTTCCTAAGTCCCGTAGTAGCATTAAGAGCTTAAATAGTCAATTGCATCTAAGGGAATAAACACGCTGCCAGTCACATTTGAACTCAGGCCACTTAGTCCAAGAGGAGACTAGTCAACGCTTTTGCCACTACCGGAAATGCCCCCACTGTCCCTGTTAACCCAATTTTTAAAAACTTAAACGAAATTAAAAAAATACTTGGACCCAAAGAGCTCACAAGCGGGGGAGTGTAACTCCCAGAGTCCTCGAACCGAACCTTTAACCGTGTATAGATCAGGGAACCAATGGCACGTCCGGGCCTTAGTGTCTAAGGTCAGGCAATGAGCTGGGCTTGCGCTCTCCCGGAGGACCAGGAAAAAGAGCGAAGCTCGTTGTTATAAACATGGCCAAGCACCAGGGTTGAAAACCGAACCCATTTTCCTGTCAGATGCTCCTCCAAATAAATATATCTCGCCAGAATTCTGTTTTCCGAGCTCGAGAAGCAGGGGAAATCGGAACAAAGACAGTATTTCACTCTGGGCTGGCAGGCAGCTGCTAGAGGTATTTACGGCCTTGCCGCAGTGCGACCGCCGGGCAGGGCACATGGGGGCACCGGAAGCTGGGGAGAAGCCACCAAGAACTCGGAATTCCGACTTAAGTCCAATTTAGGGCCAATTTTTCGAAATTAATGCGAGAAGATACCCTCTTTCTAGGAACTGGTCTCTTGGACTTCATAGTTGTGCAGAATGAAGGAAAAGTCCTACTCTCTGGACGTATTATGGTGGTTCCCTCTCCCCCTCACCCTCCCCGCCCCCCATCCCCAGCCTTGATTAACGACTGGGGAGAAGGCGTGCACTGGATATGAAACTGCTGATCCAAAGGACAACCTTGAGGGTTTACTGGAAACATGGCGATTTTGTTGGTTTGGCGGAACAGGGTTTGCAGATCAGAAAGGACGCTTGAAGCTTTAACAGGTTTTCCTGCAAAAGTCTGTTTCCTGTGTCTCTAAGATGCGGCGTTCAGGCTCTTCTGCAGTTAGGCGCTGCAGCAGCCTGCACTGCGCGCACCGCCCGGCGCTGCGCACACCTCCCGCACAGCGCAGTGCGGGCTTGAGCCTGCCTAGCCAGCTAGCCCAGCGTCCGGCGCATGTGCAATGAAATAACCTAGCCTGGGGATCCAACCGGCAAAGAACGGATGGGGGGAGGGGGCGAGTGGACTCAGAGCTGGAAGATAAAACCCGATCTCTCCACTCCACCCTCCCTCAGGATTCGCTCCTGATCTTTCCTTTATTCCAGCCTTCAATCTAAATATAGCCAAACATCTTGCCCTTGACCACGTTTTTTCAATCATCTTGACTCACCACCTCACCCCAATTTAAATCTGTACTTTAGAAATAGTCTGCAAATACGAGCTAGTGACCAGAAGAAAACCAAATCTTTCTTTCATGGTGTTAAACATACATACATTTTTTAACACCTTAAAAGATTATATATATATATATAATCCTCAGGGAAGTGTATAGATTTTTTTCAGCCTGGTGCTTCTGCTTTGGGAAAAGGCCTTTTCTCTTGGCGCCTGTTCAAACCGCCCAACTTCAGGCCAATTCTTCAACCGGACCATTCTCGGATCTTGTTACGCCAGCGCAGCACGTTCGAAGGCTCTGTGGGGACCAGTGGCTCAGCAGAAAGCGGTCAAACAAATAATAAATAAATAAATGCACGAACTGTAGGGTTTTCCCGCCTGGGCTCGCCTAATTAACGGAGGATGCACACTCCTGGGTCGCGAGCCTGTTGTCAGTGCTAGGGGTGGGAGTGGGGGTGGGGGCGGCCTCAGGAGCCTCTCGACTCCTTCTGGCCGCCCCCAAGGGGAAGGGAGGACCAGCTCAAAGCCTCTGACTCGGGAAGACCTCTGCCCGCGCCAAGAAGCCGGGCCTCGGGCTTCCGGGGCTGGAGCAGTCCCCCTGCTCTGCTGTCTGGCGCCTTGTCCAGGAGGAGGCGCTGTAGGACAAGCGTCCTGTCGGCTACGGAGGCGAGGGAGATGCCCCGGGCGCTCGCGGGCGGGAGCGTGGGAGGGACACCGACCCCGCCCCGCCCTCTCCCCGCCCTCCACCCCCTCTCACGAAGTGTTTTCGGCCAACGAGCATAGTTGGCGATGCGGCGCCCACCCCCAGGGGCGGCTTCCCGGGACTGGCAGCGAAGGCCGCCCAGAGGCCCGGGACCCTGAAGGCAGGTTCCGGGGTGGCGGGCCACCTCACTTCCTCCGCCTTCCCGGAGGGGGCGCGATTTCTGCGCTTTGGGCTCTGACGAGCAGGAAAAGAGGGTCTGGTGGTGGGGCAAGCCACGCCCAATCCCTACCAGCCCCTTCATTCGGGCTGCTGTTCTTGCCACTTTCCTTTCCTGCAATTCCTGGTACCTGGAACCGGCAGCCTTGAAAAGCCGAGTGGTCAGCGTCGCCTGCCTCAAGCCGAGGGGCTCGCCCAGGCTCACTTAGAACAAGGCCTAGGCCCCGGGACTCCCTCAAGGCTCCGAGACCCAGGGTGACTTGCGTACGGCTTGAAAACCCCGCAGTTGCTCCTCTTTCCCCCTTTTCACACCACCCCCACACTCTTCTTTACCCATTACACCCATTTCAGGCCTTTGGTGGGCTCCATGGGGGTGTTTCTTGCATCAGCGGTGACATCCCCAATTGGCTCTGATCCAACCCCACTGTTCCTTGTTGTCTCCTGGCAACAGTCTTTGCTTCCCTCATTTCCCTACATTAGAGCAGTGATTCTTAATGAAGGCTTGCATTCAAGCCTCTTCTGTATAATGCAGGTTCCTTTGTTTCATGCCAGATTTACTGAATCAGGATGTCTGGAACCTGCAGTTTATAAACACTCTCCACCATGGCAGTTAAGATGTATGCTTATGTTTGAGTACTGGTCGAGGGTCTTTCCTGTATCTTTTACGATTCTGTGGTCTACAGGGGCCAAGTTCTTGCTACTATTTAGCAATGCCCCGCCCCCTAGTTAAGGGAGCTCC